AATAAAGGACTAGACATGTCACACTAGTTACTAGTGTCAACTCAAAGTACAATACTTATATATATATATATATATATATATAATCTCTCAGTAATTCTTTCTACGTCTTATAATCTTTAGCCGAACTGCATTAGCTTTTCGAACTGATGTTGATCACTGAATATTTGCACATAGAATCTACACCTAACGCGTCCAACAGGTATGGTGCGATACCGATACGAGAAACAATGAAATTAAAGGATAGAAATGCAACATGAAAATAATCTGAAAGTTATACGAGCACTGTGATATGATTGTCAGCAAAATTCTGGGCTTTTATTATCATCAGTTAATAAATAATGCCGTATTCCTGGGACTTTATTAAATAAAACTCTCCTATTATGGAATACCACTTTCAAGTTCATACTTCAATTGAGGCGGTAAATAATTGGATATGTGATGAATACTTTTTGAATGAAGGTGATAAATATTTGTCACTTTTAATTAAAACTTCCTCTACTCTCTTGAAGTACTACAGAAAGAGGCCGGGTGTTTACGTAGGCCATTGTTCTGTGATAATTTTCAATCTGTGGGATCTCCCATCTGAGGAAAAATTACCAGGTATCAGAACTGCACTGTGGTATACTTGGCATCTGAAGACTTATTTTTCTTTTCGGTATCGGTAGCTTGAGCCACCTTTTGTTTCCTCATGGAAATTCTGATCTCTAGAAATGAAGCACTTTATTCGACAGATTATCCTTTATTTTAAAGACTGAAGACTCTTCAACGATATAATTAAGTGAAGGTTTTTTATAAGCTGGATACTGTTTGCTGTAGGAATCTAAAACAGGCTTATCACTCAAATATTTAGACGTTTAGTCGTGAGGTCTTTCATTAATATTTACGAGATAATTCACGGATACAGAAAATTTCAGTCACAATTAATAGCACTTCAATATCTCACCCAGTTTTATTAAAACTTTAAACACTCTATGAGTATTCATAGAGTGGATTTTTAGAAAAACTGGTAATATTCCCCTTGTTCAAATATTCCATAGATCCTATTAGGTGATAATAACCCGAATTTTTGTAATGTCACCAACATCAGTTGAAAAACTTCTAAACATGCTACTTATTCTTTAACTACAACATTTATCGTACATTTTCTGATAAAGATTTAATCACAATAATTCAAATTGAACATGTTTTAGCAAGAGACTGTGTTTGGAACAAACATAAGACAAAATGAAGAGCCAGTGAATAGGGCGAATACTAATTACGTAAGCAGATTATAATTTGCATTTTGTGGATTTGACAGTATTATGCTATCGGTCTTCAGAATTATGAAAAAATCGATTCAGGACACTTGGGCGCCAAAAATGCCATTGATGTGATCTAACATTATTCAAGTTTTTCGATGGAAGTCAAGCAAAAAGTGGACTGTCCATCGTTATTAGTGCTTTCAAATGTTGTTATTAAGTATTGTTATTATTATTCCACCGGTTTCCGACTGGAACTTAGGCTGCCATCACCACACGTCCCCTTTCTTCTATTTTCTGCCACACTCTACAGCTAGGTCCACGACTGAACAAAATCTCTCATCTCTTTCCCTCTCCAAATCACTCGATCTCCTCCATCTCACCTTCGCACTGACGACCAACTCGTTGCGTCCCATTCAGCTTCCATTCCACCGATGGTCTGCATTGAGCTTGATGTCATTCGACTCTGGCCTCAACATATGCACCATCCACGTCCACTTTCTCCTACATATTGGTTGATCAATCAGCTCTCGGTTGGCTTCTTCCAAGTCAGAGACTCGTGTTACCAATTCTTTCTGACCGGTCGGCCGGCCAGCTAGCCACTCGAGCTTCAGTATGGAGCCAGAGAAGGTTGAAACTGTTGATAAAAGTCTGCAGTGGCCTGATGGAAATGCTCTGCTTGGGGTACGCTCAGTGCACGTTTCTGACCCGTATAGAAGAATTGACTGACTGACTGACTGACACAGGGTTTGCGTTGAAAATCCAAATCCTGTTCTCTATGCTGTCTGAGTTAGTGCAGAAGATTTTCAAACTGATTTCAAGGTGATGAAGGCGTATCCTGCATTCCCGAATCTGGTTGGCTGGCTAGCTGTCTGGCTTCGACATCTCCATCCCTTCCAACTGACTGTGGTAGAAACGGTGCTTCCTAGCCTGATAGGTGAAGGGAGTAACCTCTTTCAAACTGTTTCCCCTGTTGATGGTGGTTGGTGCTGGTTGTTGTTGTTGTTGGTGGTGGTGGTGGTGGAAGTGGCCGGTTATTCTGATCACCTCCGCCCTCGCCTTCTCTAGGTTCACCTGTAGTCCTATCTTTGCTACTTACCACTTCTGCAGTTTGTTGCCAGTTCTCGCCTGCATCTAAGTCATCCAGTTTGTGTGACATTAGAAATGATTCATCCACGCACAAAATCCATATCTTCTAGAGGCTTCTGAGAGATCAGTGAGGCGTATTTCTGTCTTCTCAGTCACTCACTCACTCACTCACTCACTCACTTACTTACTCACTCACACCCAACATACAGCCTGACACAATTAAGAATATCGTCGTCGGTGATGATAGGGAGCCAGCCAGCCAGCCAGCCAGCCAACCAGCTAATCTTACGCCTGTATTCATTTCGAACGATAAGCTGAGTTTTTCGTTGTGGATCACCTAATACGTGGTGTTGTCACACAGCAAGCCAGCTCTTGAATGAGGTTGATGAAGGCTTACATACTTGACACCGTAGTACTGAAGTAGTCTCCAAATTACTTCTCGGTCGACTCTGCCTGTTGAAGGAATTTTCGAAGTCTTTGAAATTCAGGTAGAGGTTTGATTCCCATTCTATGCTTTGTTCTGTGATGACGGTGGGTGCGGTTGCAATATGGTCAACATACGATTGGTGGGTTGCTAGCGCCACATTCAACCCTCCCTCTTTCCCCAGGCTTGTGACTGGTTAGAAAACTAGCGTGTCAATAAACTAGGTGTGGTTAATTTTGTCGCTTTATAACATAAGTTCAAGAATGTGGATGGGTGGTTTAAGGCACTATTTAACAGTAACAAAGCGACTTCAACAAAGTAAGTCACTTATTCGTGGCTGTTAGACAATAATAAATTAGTGATTCTGTATGCCTCAGACACTTTTCACGCTTGACATGAAAAGCACTTCCAACAGCCTTCGGTGGACTCTCATCATCTGCCAGCTTCTCTTGATACTGAATATTAGAAGGTAGATGAGAAGGCAAGGATCTCTGGCGGTAGAGTTAACCAGCTATAAGTATACTGCTCATCCAACAGATATGCCAGAAGAAATGACGATGGAGTGGAAAAACACCGAGGAGACCACTGAGTGACCTCCAACGCCAGGAACTCGAATGGGAAACGACGAGTTGAGTATGGGTGCTAAAGTTGGCAATCTTTGAGCTACCTAAGAAGGACAGCGACGAATAAGGAGAAATGTAGATGTGCTACTGAAGGCCTCTTTCCCACTCAGAACACAAAGGGGGTATTAATAATAATAATAATATAATTGGCCGTACAAATCACTTTTGTTGTTTACTTGCTCTACTAAATGTCTCGCCATTTTTATATTACCAAATCATTTCATTAGTAATGTCGACTTTATTTGTCTAATTTCATCCATCACTACAATTTTAACATTTTTTGACTGTCTAGTAGAAATCATAACAATAAGTTGTAGTGTCATGCTTTACTTTATTACTAATATTGTTAATTTTGGCAGCAGTCATATATTCAGCGATGCCATCAGGGTGATAATCACTTATGTTATTTTCTGTTCAGTGATAACTTTATCATCATATAAAAATGTAACTAGCCATTACGTACATGTCGCTTCCATTGTTAATGATTTTCAGTAAGGATAAGAAGATGTCTGTCGCCAAAGATATATACATACATACATCTATATATATCACAATATATTTACTGCGAATCATATAACAGAACAGACAGATGAATACTGAACAAATTTTTGAGAATATCAGGCATGAGATAATAATTAGTCATGGTATAATTTTAGAGTGCTTAATGCATGAGGCCTTCTGTATTCCTAAGTGTCCTAATTGGAATATTTCAGTCAGATATACCAGGCAGACAATCAGATAAATGATGTGACAATATTTTTGCCCTGGTGATGTATTATGACTCGGTATTATTGTTGAGAGGAACTATTCAACTGCCTATCGTAATCTGAATTTATATCGCTGAATTGTTTTACTCCTTTACGTTCTGAGTGGAGCGAAGAGCTTCAGGCTTGAAGTTTCGGTGTCAGTGGTGTTTATTTTTACGGGATGGGGTTGCTAACCTCATGCCCAACCTTCTCTCTACATCAGTCTTCTTTTTTCTCCTTCACGTTCGCCAGTGGAACATAGGGCCTTAAGCCAGTGGCTTGAATTTTCTGTAACAGTGTTTAATTTTTACAGGATGGGATTGCTAGCCTCATGCCCAACCTTCCCTCTTTACCAGCTGTATTTCTAGTTTAGAGAGGTAAAGGAGTGCGTCGGCCGGCGATCGAACCCTGAACTATGTGGATGGTCGGCGAGCGTCCTAACCACTATGCCACCGACTCACATCATCAGCCTTATTACTGGCTAAACAAGGTAAAGGAGGGCGTCAGCCGGGAATCGAACCCCAAACCACATGGGTGGTTGGCGAGTATTCTACCGCTGTGCCACTAACGCACCCACTGACTTTAGCTTTATGCTTTTCAAGCTACACCACTGACTAGATCACACATGTGGAGTTAAATTGAAACTTGTTCAACCTGAACGTGTTTGTGTCATTTTCATAATTTCTGACAAGTTCTTTTAATTAACAGGCCACTGAAAACAAAAAAAAAATCAATTAAACGACATTTTTGTCGATATTTATTTCATTACTGTTCATTGTTATATAAAAATTAATAAAATAATGTTCACTAGCAAAAAAGGCACTTCATAACACCTCTATAATATATCTGTATAATACTCAAATTGTTTTACTTATTTTAGGTGTCATTTTGATCGTATATCTGGGATTCGTGTCAGTAAATTTATTCCCAACCAATACAGATCTTACTTTACGTTATCGATCTAAGCGCTGGGCATATTATGAAGTACATAAATGTGGTCGAATAAAAGGCTACAGTTGTCTAGAACATCGTCATTGTTATGAACGTTATCTACGCCGTGATATGGTTTGCTTTGAAGTTTATCCATGCTTGAGTTCATGTATATTCATTGCTCAGGTAAGTAAATAAAAGAGTATTTTCGCTGGTGTTTTTTAAATCCGATCATTCATTCATTTCTTTTTTTGCTTTCTAACCAGTCTTAGCATCAAAGTTCATTACTATTATCATTCATTCTTTGCACTTCGTTTTCGCTCCACTAATTATGACAAGCCTTCCCTTCTTATTCTTCTTCTTCACATTATATCCTCCATATCATACTTAAGTTCCCAACATGTGGAGACAAAATACTCCCGAATAATCCATTTCACTTAGATTTTTCATCAAACTGACTGATGTCATTCCGTATATCACATAGTGTAATGACAGAAGACAAGGGCCAGGTAATCGGTCGTTTATTGAGAAAATCAAGAGATATGTATAGATTTTTAATGTGCATTATTGCCAGTGGAGAAGCGACGTCTTCTGACTGGTTGTTTTCTTGCTGAAGGTTATTCCGTACTGTTTGTGACCGTTTCTCAGAAGGTTAAGCCATATATCTGCGAATCGTATTTGCACACGTTAAGTCTGCTGTGATTGGCTGGTGAATTCCTCAAGGCTAAGCTTTGTTATTGTTTTTCCTCATTACCCGGATTCGGGACGTAAACATCGACGTAAACTGTAATCGAAAGTTTTAGCTTGAAGACAGCTTTCACCACAATAGTACATATCTACTAGGTAACTGTCGGAACTGAAAGCATGAGACAGATAACTTCTTCTAAATTAGGATTCCTTGTAAGTCAGTAATCACTATCCATACAGGGATATACCAAAGAACGAATAAGAAAAGGTCGTATCGATGATTTCCTGTTTGTCATCTGTGAAGATAGTTGCTGTATATCGAAAATAAGAATAAGCTGGAAGTTGGAAGCAGTTGAATTCCAACTTAGTTTTCCCATGTTTTTAAGTATACACTTCATAGTCAGACAACCATCTGCAAACTTCTTAGTGTGTTTCTTGATACTCAGTGATTTTGTAACTTGTGTTACTTTATGGTTGAGCAAACTCTGAAGTAATCAGACTACTCCAATTGGCGGTGATTTGTAGTGGATACAGAAGCTTGAAGCAACATAATTAGCAAGTTCATCCTATTGCGTAGTTAGCAGATTGCGTGACAGACAATCTACAGGTAACAACTTCAAACCTACTTCAACTTAAAGTCTATCTCAACTTCAAGGAAAACCACTGTTTAGAAGTAATGTTGTAATGAAATACTGAAGGATTCGTTACGTTAATGAATGCTGTTAGACACTTATGTTTCAATGGTGGAAACTGAATAATATCTGACCAGTCTGAATCACAAATGTCGTATACGGTTTACGCTCCGCCATAAAATTAACTCATAGTTTCTTCGAAGAAAATTATGAAAGCAGAAATCAAAACAAATGTTAGCTTGGAATTACCGTATGAATGCCTTCCAGCCAGCAATTTACTACCCAATTATTATTATTGCTCCCTTGGGTTCCTAGTGGAACATAGGGCTTCAACTGCACGTCTCCATTTTCTTCTGTCTTCTGCTATACTTTTCGCCTGCATCCATGTTAATCCATATTCTTTCAACTCCTCTTCACACGATCTCCTCCATGTCACCCTTGGACGTCCCACACGCCGCTTCCCTTTCGGGTTCCACTCGAGGGCTTGACGCGCGATGTCACCCAGCGGTCTCCTCAGCGAGTGTCCGATCCATCTCCACTTTCTCCTGCATATTTGTTGGGCGATTGGTTCTTGCTTTGTTTGTTCCCATAATTCCTTGTTGGTGATTCTTTCCGGCCATCTGATCTTCAGTATAGAGCGAAGACAGTTGTTAATAAAGGTCTGCAGCCTTTTGGAAATATTCTTTGTGACCCGCCAAGTTTCTGATCCGTATAGAAGAACTGACTTTACGTTTGTATTGAAAATCCGAATTTTGTTGGTGATGCTGAGTGACGAAGATTTCCAGATTGATTTCAGGTTGATGAATGTGTTTCTCGCCTTCCCGATTCTCGATTTGACATCCTCGTCCGCTCCTCCTGTAGTTGAGACAATGCTCCCTAGATAAGTGAATGAAGTAACCTCTTTCAAATCCCTCCCGTTGATGGTGATTGACGTTGGATGTTGTTGCTGTTGTTGTTGTTGGTTATTTTCATAACCTCCGTCTTGTCTATGTTTACCTGGAGTCCTGTCTTCTCCGGCTGCTTCTTCGACCAGTTTGTCGGTTTTCGCTTGTAAGTCTTCGATTTTGTGTGACATCAAACATAAACATCGCCGCGCGAAATCCAGGTCTTCTAGGTTCTTCACGTCGGTCCAGGATATTCCTGTCTTCTCGTTTCCCACAGTCTGACGCATAATCCAGTCAGTCACCACAATTAGGAATATCATTGGTGATAGTAAGCACCCTTGTCTGACTCCTGTGTTTACTCCAAACGCCTCGCTGAGTCTTCCGTTGTGGATCACTTGGCAGGTGCCGTTGTCGTACAGCTGTTGAATAAGGTTGATGAATATTTGGGGTACGCCATAGTACTCGAGTAATTTCCAAATTACTTCACGGTCAACGCTGTCGAAGGCCTTCTCAAAGTCTATAAAGTTGAGGTAGAGGTTTGATTGCCATTCCATGCTTTGTTCGATGATGATGCGTAGAGTTGCAATTTGGTCAGTACATGATTTGCCTTTCCTGAATCCAGCTTGTTCTGGTCGGAGTTCTGTCTCCAGTGCGTCCTTTAATCTCTCCAGGATGATGCGACTCAGGATTTTACTTGGCGTCGATAGGAGCATGATTCCTCGCCAGTTCTTGCAGAGTCCTAAGTCGCCCTTCTTTGGTAGTTTCACGAGGTAACCTTTCCTCCAGTCAGTAGGCACCTTTCCCTCCTTCCAGACCTTTTGCAATAATGGAGTCAGCATGTCTGCTGTCGTCTCTGGGTCCGCTTTCAGTGCTTCAGGGGGTATTCCATCTGGTCCGGCTGTTTTTCCAGCTTTCAGAAGTTTGATTGCGTTCAAGACTTCAGCTCTCGTTGGAGGATTGGTGTCAACTTGCAGTTGTGTGCGCGCTGTTGTTGGTATTTCTGGACGGGTTGCAGGTGATGGTCGGTTCAAGAGTCCTTTGAAGTGATCCGCCCATTGTTTAATCTGTTTTTCTTCCTTGGTAATGGGTTCCCTTGGCTGTCTTTTATAGGTTTCGCTTGTGTTGGTCTCTTCCCGGATAGAGATTTGGTTATCTGATATAGTGTCCTCAGGTCCCTTTTGCCTGCTGCCTTTTCAGCTTCAGTAGCTAGATTGTCGTAGAATCGTCTTTTGTCCTTCCTAGCACTTTTCTTCACTTCTTTGTCCAGTGCTTTGTAAGTTGAGCTCATCGTCTCCTTCTCCTGTCCGTCCTTGCATTGAATCATTTTCTCTTTCACCATTCTCCTCTCTTCTATTTATTTCCAAGTGTCCGTTGAGAGCCATTCCTTGTCTTGTCTCTTCTTTCTTCCTAGAACCGTTGAACACGTTTCGTTGAGAATCGCCTTCAGAGACTTCCAATGTTCTTCCACGCATGATTCTTCAGTGATGTCGCGTAGTGTTTCCTGCTTTGCTCTGACAGTTGCAGTGAAGTGTCTTTTGTGGTTGTGTCCTTCAGTAATTGAGTGTTGAACTTGCATTGTGGCCTATCCCCAGCTATCCTCGAGGCTTTTAGTTTCACCTTGAAAGTCCCTTCTACTAGATAGTGGTCTGAACCCACATCTGCTCCTCTCCTTGACCTTGTGTCCAGTAGGCTCCGTCTCCACTTTCTTGAAATTGAGATGAAGTCTATTTGGTTCTTGGTGTTTCCATCTGGTGAAATCCATGTCGTCTTGTGTATATCCTTGTGTTTGAACACACTGCCACCAATCACCAAATCATTGAAGGCGCAGAAGTCTGAGAAGAGTTCACCATTGTCGTTCATTTCACCGAGGGCCTCACGACCCATGGTGAGTTCTCTTCCTGTGTTGTCTCCTCCCAGCTTCGCATTCATGTCGCCCATCAGGATTTTGATATCGCCATTTGGGACGTTGTCCATTATTGCTTGTAGTTGTCTGTAGAACGCCTCCTTCTTCTCTTGTTCTGAGACGTTTGTAGGCGCATAGCATTGAATGACTGTAACTTTCCTTCCTTTTGAGTTGAACCTGGCTGTCATTATCCTGGAGGAGATTGGTTCCCACTGCATGAGAGCTTTGGTTGCTGTTGGTGACATCATGATGGCCACTCCCTCGGTGTGCTCATGGTTGTCCTCTAGGTGGCCGGAATAGATTACTGTCTCTCCAGTAGGTAGTTGGCACCTTCCAGTTCCGTTCCATCTGCTCTCGCAGATTCCCAACACTTCTATTCTGTACCTTCTCATTTCAGCGGCTATCTGGGCAGCCTTTCCAGTTTCGTACATTGTGCGAACATTCCAGGTACCCATCCTTACTTTTGCTTTCATCGAAAGAAGGCACATCGGCTGACTGGCTTCCCGAAGGCTTTCACCAGCCTGCGTCATTTCACTTCCCCGATTCCAGCGAAAAGTAAGGCTATTGCTTATGTTTTTAGAATTTTTAATATATTTATTCGTTGAAGTTTCTGTAGCGATTTGGTTGTTTTACAGGGGTGGAGTTGCTAGCACCACGCCCCAACCCTCCCTCTTTACCCGGGCTTGGGACCGGCGAGAAAACTAGTAAGCTAGTAGCCTAGCAAGCTAGTATCTGGCGAGGTTTACTACCCAATTGGTAACAGAAAATTCGACATACAGTGTTCGTATTTTTGCTCATTAGTAAGCGGTGTCTTCCATACTTATATAAGTAGGGCTGAAGAGTCAGAAAATAAGATGGGACTGTTCTGTTCATTACTCCCTGAACATAAAAAATGTCCAACTTGAAACTTACGAATTAGATTTCAGTTAGAAGGCTGTGTGTCACACCACCTGATAAAGTGCACACCAGCTGAGTTTAAATCCCTCATTTGTTTTTATAACTACCTAGATGCAGTTCTCCTCATTTAATTACCCACAGACAGGATGATGAAGTGTTCTCACTCTGTGGCTTTAATGATCAGTAAAAATGCGCTGTGTTGCACATGTCACTGGCTTTCTTCCTACTCTTTACGTTGTCTAGCTGCTCATATATTATACTCTGAATAACTTGAGTTTTCTAAGTAGGCCTTATTGAAAATTTACCACAACTTGCATGACTTTCAAATAACGGCGGTATACATGTATTCATGCTTGTGAGTCCCCCATTGACACATCTGTCCGCATTGATCAGCTTAAGTTTGGCTTACGGACTGCATAGACGAATGCTTCACTAATTACGAGAGTTTCAGTGTGAAGACTGTCACTCACTAGAGAGTAATTATATTCAGTTGACCAGACTCAAATAAGATGATTATACCACTAAAAGACACCAGTAAACAACTATCTATATAATAGTATTTTCCAACATTCCTTTTTGCTTTCGGGTTGTATACTACTGAAACTTTTATTTGAGTAGCTTGCTACTTGTCTTTCAAATTCTAATCTTGATGTTGTTTTAAAACATTTTTAGCTATATGATTACGAGAAACTGACAAAACAAATTGAACGATTAATGCTGAATGGAGAATCTGTCAACAATCGTGATGATGCAGTGAATTTCGTTCGTGAAAAGACGAAAAAATTAGCAAGTGAATTGAATCTATCGTTACCATTGTGAGGAGCATAAATGTGTGCTGATATAATAGTAATAAAAATTATCATTATGATTATTATTCTCGATAAAGATTATGAAGACTGTTAAAACATTTCAAGGAACCCGTTACGATCAACAGGGAAATTCATCACACATGTTTGTTCTGATTGTTATGGTATATACCGGATTTGGGAATTCGACGTGAACTAAAATAATGTGATTAGTCAACAATGCATTGATCTCTTCTCTTACTTGGTCTCTTTCTCTCTTTGTGCGTCTCTGTGGTGTCTTTTACTTTCACACTGTTTTTCATTGTCTCCTGTATTTTTGTTACTTTGCTTTCTAATATTAATGATAACGGACAATTACACGTCCGAATATGGTATTGCATATGCATGCGATAACCAACTTATTACTATGATGTATATTTTATATTGGATTAAAACTTGACTTCTTACAATTCACCTGGCCAATGGGAGCGAGCAGTTTGTAGACCCTTTGCATAAGTATTTTTAGACAGCGGAGAAGGAAAACAGTGGTTTGTTCGCTGAATGAAACCGTTGCAACAGATCTTTAGCTGGGAGTATTCCGTACTCTGGAAACAGTTGGATCTAGAAGGCCACGATGGGAAATCCACCCGTCTTTTGTTTAAAATGTTCCGGGTTTCATAGTAAATTCAAAAAAGAGGTAAGGTGCAGTGTTTTACTCACCTGTTGAACATCATATTTACATAGTGGTGTATTTCTTTTCATAGTTAAGTTGATAGAAGTAGTAAGTATCAGAATTATGAGATAATTCTCTCTTGGATGAAACCCCTTTTAGAATTTCTCGGACATCAACCCCAAGTCCTAGAAGTAAGTTAAGTTATCGATCGATGATACATTCATTGCATATACTGCGATAATAAAACTAGATTGATACTGAATGACTTCACTACTTTAATCTGTTAAAGTGATTACCTTTGTTTTGGCTGGCTATACCTTACATGAATGATGATGTTTGCAACTTCGAAAATATGCATTTGAATCAAACATGAAATTGACGAATAACTGAAATAGCTAAAGCACGAGATAAATTTCCAGATAAATATACTACTTTGACATTTATTTTCATTCAGAGGCTTGTTCCAGTGTTCCTGACTTTGACGTGTTAACTGGCTTACCTATTTGACTTTTTCCATCAACAACAAGACATGAGTAATGAAGTCCACATTCATATGAAAAAGTCTGATTAATTTTCGTCCCTCAAGTTTGCCTGTAGTGCTGATAAAATATTTTAATACTCATTGAAGATAAGATGTCTTTGCTGTGGTTGGCTGTAGAATGCAATAAACCTTGAGGGGTGAAAAGAAGACGATGGAAAATCTGCACTTTATGTCTAATGTCATACGAAGCCGAAGGTGTACTGGTGAATCCCAAGAAATTTGGAAGGACAGTTAGGCGGCGAAGACGGGTCTTTAAGTGAACATAGAGAAGGCAGAGGTGATGAAATTACCAAATCAACAACATGCATCAGTCACCAATGATGGTGGAAATCTAACATATGTCACCTCTTTCACCTAGTTTGGAAGCATTATTCCAATTGCAGATAGCACGGATGGGGATATCACTGCCAGGTAGGATTAGTTTGAAGTCAGCGTAAGAAACAGTTCTTCTATACGATTCACTGACTTAAACCATCATGAAAAACATTTCGACTAGCTTGCAGAATGTTATCAACCTACGCTGAGGGGTCCACTGGCCACTAAGTGGAACAGGGATAAGAACGGCCACTTAAGCATCTATAGGTAAAATAGAGGAGGTTGTGCGAGGGGGGAGATAAAAGCATATAACCAATCAAGGAGCTAGGTGGAAAGGACTCGAATGAACCAGGGGCATTGAAGCTGAAGCTTGATGTTCCAGTTTTGACACAGAGAAATGTAAAATGATAGTCTTCAGGCCTCATAACATGAAGCTTTTTTCTTTGAGTATATTGTCACAACTGTGACGATATATTCAATGGAGGAGAATTTGATTATCTCTTCATTCAAAGATAGGGGAGACAAAGTAGTCAAAATCAAGGTGCCTTGTTACTGCAAACAAAATGACCACAAAAAAATACCTTTTTCTTTATACCTATATTGCTGTAACCTTATGTATTATTATTCCACTATAGAGGATACTAGTAACTAGTATTATTTATTGAAATTAGGAGAATAAGTAAGTTTATCCAGAAAAGAAGAGACAATTCAGAAAAGACAATTTTTCGTCAGTCAAGTGATCTTCAGAGTTTATACCATTAAAAGTAATCATGTCTTAGTAAAACACATTTTGAGCTAATTTAAATTCTTTACCCTTAGAAGTTGAAAGTACCTCTGAGAAAGGTGGCTGCCAGCACCTACATTAAAAATTTACCGCAGGATTACTGAACTTCGACTGTATCTGATTCCTTTGAAGGACTAAAAATTTCCTAACTTTATTTCACTGACAGCGCTAACCAATTGGTTTTCCTCTCTTTCCTTTTCCGATTATTATAAATCTCGTGCATTTGACTAATGCCGAATAGAAGTAGACAAGTGAAACGTGTTGGTAATCACTTTCACACTTCACTGTCTGGCTTAAAGGAGGTCGTCAAGAAAATGTGTATCACATGATGTGGAACAAAATTTGACCTGTGTATTACCATGTTGGACCACAAAAGAAAACAAGTTAAGTAAAAATAGCAAGTGTTTATTGGATTTTAATTATATAAAAGTATCAGAGATTCATCAATTACTCCCATCAGTGATTACCTTGAATCATACAATCTAACTATCTCATTTTGCTGCCTGATAAAAGTTGTACTTCATAATTTGCAGACTTTCCTTCGCCCAATCACTGTTTGACCACTTAGGTCATCAATACACATCAGTGTACAACAATTAGGTGCATAATGGTTTGAGTTAGACGCGATGAAATAATTAGCCTTCAGTTCAATTCACCTTGAAACTCAGTGTCAGTGTTCATATGAGTAAGTTTATAAAAGTTCAAATGTTTTTCAAATGGAATACAAAACTTACCCTCACTTTAAGTTATCCATGGATTTCCAGTATTGCCCCTGATAAATGAAACCGGAGTTCAATGTTTAAAAGTTTTCATCTGATCAACATACTTAAACTTGTCTTTTTCTCTTCAAATTCAGAAGAAGAAGAAGAATGACTTCATTTTAGAAAGTTGTGTAGGACTTATTTACAACAATATGCAGATTGTAAAAAACCTCTCCTAGAAACACGTAAAGGTGGTTTCTGAAACTTCATCTATCATTTCGTCATAGCCAGCCTATACCTTCAGCATTAAATTTTCCTGTAAAGTTTTCTTCTTATCCGATCCTGTGAGTTGCACTCGATTCCGTCTAAACTAGCAACCTCACACCACAAAATCAACCAAGCTGCTACACAAACTTCAACACACAAGAAAATTATTAAGAATGCGAGAAATTCACATAATAAACTTACTCTTCACTGATATCATAGAGGCAAAATGGCACAACGGGATGGCTGGTGAACTCCAACCGTCGTCAAGCCAGTCAGCCAACCAATGCATCTTCCACCTATGGAAGCAAGAATAAGGAGGCGGACGTGGAATGTACTTACAATGTACGAGGCTGGCTGGGACGGCTTCCCAGTTAGTCACAGAGGTGAGGAGATATGGTACAGAGGTGGTGGGAATCTGTGAGAGCAGGTGGAATGGATGTGGATTGTCAAAACTGTCAACTGGTGAGTGAGTAATCTACGCCGGTCACACACTGAGATGACAACCACCGGCATGCTGGGGCGGTGAGTGACTATCATGTCGTCACCAGTGGCAGCCAAAGCCCTAATGCAGTGGGAATGGATTTCCTCTTTCGGAATCGTGACTCGAAGATTCAATTGAAAAGAAGGAGGAAGGAAGGTTAAAAATGTCCACTACTGCGCGAAGTGCTACAAGCAACTCGGAACGAGAGGAGAAGAAAGATTTCTCTAGACAAATGCAAAGAGTATTGGACAACATCTCGAGTGGTTACATCGAAATCCCCATCGGCAATATGAATAGGAGTTGAAATAGGAGCAGATAATTCAGATAGAGAACTCATTATAGGTAGAGAGGCTCTCGTTCGGTGAAGTGAATGGGAACGGAGAACTCTTCACAGACTTCTCCTCTTTCAGTGATCTGATGATCGGAGACAGCGAGTACAAACACAAAGATATACGCGACACCAGTGACATGCATTTTACGGGATTGACACACCACAAATTAAATAGATTTCATCTCAGTGCTGCTCAGGGAATCGGAGACTCAGGCAGCCTGCTGGACACAAAGTCGAGAAGTGGAGCAGATATGCGCTCAGACCATCATCTAGTTCAAGGAACCTTCAAGGTGAAGCTGAAATTCATGAAAACGAATGGAGCCAGACCACAATTCAAGTTCAATTTTTCATAATTGGAGGGACGAAAATACAAGGGATTTCTTCTCTAAAGATCAGATCAGATAATTGCAAAACGGGAGACACTACGTGGTATGACTGAGGAAACCTGTGTGGAATAACTTTCGAAATCTCTGAAGGTGACATCTAAGTAAAGGTGTTCAACCGTGTTGTGAAGAAAGAAGTGAGAAGACTGGGAATGGGTGTCAATGGGCATCTACCTGAAGCTAATAGAAGAGAGAAGAGGAGGATGGTATGAGAGATGACTCAATGTACAAATGGACAACAGAAGACGAAGCTGAGTTGACAGTAATGCACACTGCATTGAATAAAGAGGAGAAGAAAAGTGCTGGGAAAGGCGAACGGAAATTCTACAACACATTAGCTGGATGCACCGGGAGTCAGGCCGCAGAGAAGAGAGAGCTGAGTACATCATATAAGATAACCAGGTCACTCCCTCTCTGGGGAGAGATCAATCCAGATGATAAAACTAATAAAAGATTTTCAAGGGAACCTGATAACCAAGGAGGAGAAACAAATAAAACAATAGACTGATCACTGTGAACGACTCTTGATTCGACCACCACCTGTGACTCTCACAGAAATACACCAACTCGAACAGCACGTAGAGAACTGCCTGATAGTGTATATCAATCCTCAAACGCAAGCCGAAATCCTGAATTAGATCAAGCTACTGAAGTCCAGTGAGGAAGGTAGCATGGCCAGACGGAATACTGCACCCTGAAGCATTTAAAATCTACCCAAAGATTGAGGCAGATGTTCTCAAACGGTTTGGAAATAAGGAAAGGTACCTATCCATTAAAAGAGAGGCTAGCTATCTTTTCAAGCCACCAAAGAAGGCCGATTTAGACCTCATTCTGCAATAACTGACTGGCGTGGAATAATGTTGTTGTCCACACCAAGTAAAATACTAAGTCGCTTCATCCCGGAGAGAATAAGGGATGCACTAGATGCAGAACTCCACCAACCCAACCGGAACAAGCTGGCTTTATCGAGGAAAGGCAACCATATGCGTCATCATCGAACAAAGCAAGGAATGACAGTCAAATCTCACTCTACCTCAATTTAATCGATTTCGAAAATTCCTTCAACAGGCAGCGTCGACCGAGAAGTAATTCGGAAACTACTTCAGTACTACGGTGTCAAGTATGTAAGTCTTCATCAACCTCATTCAAGAGCTAGCTTGCTGTGTGACAACACCACGTATTAGGTGATCCACAACGAAAAACTCAGCTTATCGTTCGAAATGAATACAGGCGTAAGATTAGCTGGTTGGCTGGCTGGCTCCTTATCATCACCAACGACGTTATTCCTAATTGTGTCAGGCTGTATGTTGGGTGTGAGTGAGTAAGTGAGTGAGTGAGTGAGAAGACAGAAATACGCCTCACTGATCTCTCAGAAGCCTCTAGAAGATCTGGATTTTGTGCATGGATGATTCATTTCTAATGTCACACAAACTGGATGACTTAGATGCAGGCGAGAACTGGCAACAAACTGCAGAAGTGGTAAGTAGCAAAGATAGGAGTACAGGTGAACATAGAGAAGGCGAGGGCGGAGGTGATCAGAATAACCGGCCACTTCCACCGCCAACAACAACCAGCACCAACCACCATCAATAGGAGAAGCAGTTTGAAAGAGGTTACTCCCTTCACCTATCAGGCTAGGAAGCACCGTTTCTACCACAGTCAGTTGGAAGGGATGGAGATGTCGAAGCCAGACAGCTAGCCAGCCAACCAGATTCGGAAATGCAGGATACGCCTTCATTACCTTGAAATCAGTTTGAAAATCTTCTGCACTAACTCAGACAGCATAGAGAACAGGATTTGGATTTTCAACGCAAACCCTGTGTCAGTCAGTCAGTCAGTCAATTCTTCTATACGGGTCAGAAACGTGCACTGAGCGTACCCCAAGCAGATCATTTCCATCAGGCCACTGCAGACTTTTATCAGCATCTGTCACCTTCTCTGGCTGGCTGTATACTGAAGATCGAATGAGTAACAAGAGACTCTGACTGTGAACAAACCACCTTAGAGCGGATCGTTGGTCAAATATGTAGGATAAAATGGAGATGGATGGGGCATATGTTGAGCCCAGAGGCGGATGACATCACGCTCAGTGTAGGGGCCATAGGTGGAATGGAAGCTGAATGGGACGCGACGAATGGGTCGTCGGTACTAAAGTGACATGAAGGATATAATATGAGGTGGAGGGGAGAAAAGATGAGAGATTTTGGTCAGTCGTGGACCCAGCTGTAGAGTGTGGCAGAAAATAGTAGAAAGCGGATGTGTGTTGTCGGTGACCTATGTTTCACTCGGAACAATAATAAATTATAATGAATAATGAACATGTGTAAACTTTTAGGTTTTTAAACATTTTGGCTTATATTTATATCGCTTTCTGTGCGATGCTATTCTCGGAACGTTTCCAATTTCAGAAATATCATGTACATGTTCGGTCCCTGGACGCCCCCTCTACTAAATCGTGCCTGACCGGTAGTAAACTTAGTTAAAAAAAGAAGGTTGGTTACGAGGTCAGAAGCCTTACTTCAAAGCCTGTGTGTTTCAGTTGGAACTCGGAAGAATCAAATCGAATTAGGTTATGTGAAAAACAAGCAGTATTATTTTATTTGTTTCATCCAAACAAAAAGCAGTAAATAAAATGTGTGCAGTCAGTTCACTTCCTCTTGTTCAGAAGAAAACCTAAGATATACTCTGTACAATGACTTTCTTTTGACTGTTTCCGACTGTGATGGAAAACTGTGAATGTTCTACAAAACTAAACTTTGTTGTTGTGAATGTATGTCTCTATGTGTGCATGTAGTGAATTCCCATGACTTTGGGTTGTTGAGTTCAATAAAAATTTATGATGGTCAGTTCGGTCATTTGTCCTTGTAACTGGAAAAATAGCCTCATTTTATTTCTATGTCAAAATGCATACATGCCATCCAGCCGTTTCATTGGTTAAGATTGACCTAGTAACAATTGCTGTAGGCTTTCGTATAATTTTCATCACTCTGTGATGCATTAGCTATTTGGATAGAAAATCCTGATTGATGTACACAGAAGAAACTTCTCCACCGCCTCATCCTTCTACCTTGGGTATAATTCCAAGTTTTATACTCCTTTGTCAATAACGCTATTTTGAATTTTGTTTTCTTGAGTTTTCTGAATTTTTTTTTGAATTTTTGTATAACCTCTTAGTAACATCTCTTTCTTAACAACCCTTTATTTATTCTTTCTATATATAAGGCGGCCTGCTTAAATCACTGGGATACCAAAATTACTTTCCTCCAAAATGCTTAATTTCATCTGGATTTATCATTGTTTTAATCGTCCAGTTATATCAAATGACCTATACATAAACTTGCGCGATGGTATAACTTGCTCCCAAGTAAACGCTGTACAATTCTTCAACGAAATGAAGATATACTTCAGACTAATAATTTACATGTGAATCCCGTGTGAAGAGAAAAGTACTTTGGAACTGAATACGCTGAAAATTATTGTACCGTATATTCGCATACTGTCTTAAATAAAGCTTTACCATTATTATCATTATTATTATTTATTATTATTACTGCATAATTTATTTTGGACAGGTGCCTCCATGCTCTTTTATTAATATTCTATTTTTCTGGGTGACCTTCATATTACGCAACCCTTGTCAGTACTTACCCATTTTATCACTATAGTTACAGTCTGATTATTCATTACATTTTTTCAACATTTTGATGACATAATAAACAATAGTCATAGTTGATCTTTTATTTTTGTTTGATAATCCTAATGTACAAATACACACAAATAATTATATATTAGCGCGACTGTACAGCGAAGTGAATGAATTCGTCGAATAGAGATATTTTTGCTGAACTTTTGTGTTCTTGAATTTCTCCTTGTAATTGCAACTACCGAGACAAAAAAACAGCCTGATTACAATTATATGTGAAATGCACACACGCTATCCAGCCGTTTGATTGGTTAAGAATGACCTAGTAACAATTGCTTTATCATTTGTAACTGCTCCCCTAAAAGGTTAATCTGAAGATTGTTTGTGCTGACTGCTGTTCAGTAGTTTAGCCATTATTAGGATTGACTTGTATGACTAAAGTTCTGGTTCTGTTACCCTCGCAAGACTATCTCATCCATTCATTCATTCATTCATTGAATGACTGGGATTCTGAGTTAAGTGGAAATAAGTAGATTAGATTATTTCATAACTAAGAAGGTTGGAATTCTCTTAATTCGTTAAACAGAAACTTGCTATAACACAGAATATTTTGTCATAATTGTATATACCATTGTTAACCTAAAACTTTATGTGAAGGTGAAGCAAGAAATGTGAATACGATGACAAAGAAGACTGTTAATGAACACGAACACATTTGAATGACCAAGTGAAGTTCCCAACATCACAACATTGTTTATCACACCTTGGTCAAGTGTTTTAGTTGGTTTCTAAGGTGTATTTAATCTGAAGCAATAGTACTTAGTGGTATTAGAAGGATAAAGATGCTTTGTACCATCACATTTACAAATTGTTAACTGACCTGGAAATGAGACTAAATCATCTTAATTTATCTGTACAGATTAGAAAATACTGGATAACTAACTGTAACCTATTGCAATGTGGTATTCACAGAGGCTGTCACAGACCGAAACTAACGTTCAGACAGACATGACTAATTCCAGGACAAGTTTGTGAACCATCTGTTACAAACCACTTAGATTTACTATTTGCATGAAGAGTACCTAATGCATCTCTCGCACCACTGGTATCACAATCAAAACAAATACACTGTACCATCTTGTACATCTGATTACAATCATAGTTTGAGCTAACTGTCACATTACTTATAATATGATTTTTTCATTTAGTTAATTAGACGGTATTTTAATTATTATTTAAAATAATTACAATTTATCTCTTGGTTTAAACTACAAAATTATCCATAACAATCCAGCATAATATACACATATATGCTGAAGCACATGTGGACTACACCTAACAAAAGATAAAAAAAAGTCTTCTTCTAATCTTTGAGACACATTAAAGTTAATTTTAAATCATTCTACAATGGATCATGCAGATTCACCTCCCATATCCTTCTAAGATAATCATTAATGACGTCCATGGTTTAACCATATATGTATATGTATTTATATGTAATAGTTCAAACTTAGTTAGTCTGTGGCATCCCACTTAAACGGTATGTGCAAATAACTGAGAATTACTGGTTAGCGAAGTGACAGACGTTAAATCTGAGTTGTGTTTTAGACATTTGTATTCGATAGAATTCATCTGTGTAAGTCAGCCAATACTATGGTAACGCATATCAATCCTAGCTAACCTGTTTTTAAACTAACTTCTCCATCATTATCTTCGGGTACAACAATATGAAATGAAAGTAAATTATCCCAGTTTCCTTCATACGCAGTGGAAATAAGTCACTTGTAAAAATCAAACATCTAAACTGGAAGCTACTTAAAATAATCTGACTAAGGGTTAGAAGGCAACAGTGATTATTTCTTCATAATCTGTGCCAAAAATTTAGTTTACATTCAGCTGAGTATGTTTCATCTGAATAAACATTTATCAGGCTACATCGACTAGTCTGATGATAACTCACATCTAGTAGCAGGAACAGTATAACATAAAAATGAAACGAAAACAAAACTTACCAACCAAATAATGACATTTCTCAGTCAGCAGTTGCTTAGGTTCCTTTCGTAACACATTTTTAACTCTGGTCTTATGAATATTATTATTCTCATTGTTCCCTTGGGTTCTGAGGGGAGCATAAAGATTCGAAACTGCATCTCCACTTTATCCTTTTCTCTGCTGCCATTTTTAACTGCTGAGTGCAGCAGATTCACAGACTGATTTCAGAGAGACTAATTTCTCCCTTGCCTTTCCGATTCTAGTTTTGACATCCCAATCCGTGATGTCACCTGTAGTTAAAATTATGATTCTTAAGTAAGTGTGCTAGGCGACTTGCTTCACATTTATTCCATTGACAGTGGTTCGTTCTGCTTGTTGTTATCCTCATCACCTTTGTCTTCTCTGTGTTCACGCGACGTTCTATCTTCGCTACTTCTTCTGCCGATTTGTTGGTTTTCCCCTGCAAGTCTTCCAGTTTGTGTGGCATCAGGCATGAATCGTCCCTGGAGTACACCAGATCTTCTAGAGTCTTCTGATCAGTTCAAACTATGCCTATTACTCGCTCCTCACAGTCTACCGAATAATCAAGTTCAATACAATAGGAAAGCATCTGGCGGCAGGGGACAGCATTGTCTCATTCTTCACTGTACTCCATAGGTTGCACCAAGTTTTTCCGCTGTTGATCACTTGTCATGCGGAACTGTCATACAGCTGCTGAATGAGGTTCAGAAACTTTGGAAGTACTCCAAAGTATTTAAGAAATTTTTAAATTACTTCGTGGTATACGCTATCGAAGGCCTATTCAAATTCTATGAAACTGAGATAGAGATTCAACTGTCATTCTATGATCTGTTCGTTAGTGATGTGTAGAGTTAATATTTGACCTCCACATGATTTGTTTTCTGGAATCCAGAGGGTACTGGTCGTCGTTATGCAAATAACATATCCCTTAGTCTCTATCCAGAATAACGCGAAACAACAATTGGCATGATAGGGAGAAGAATATGATATCATTCAAGTGACACTTGGCATGTACTGGACGAGGATTTAATAGTCCTGACGCAAGAAAGACGGAAATCAGAAGACCACTAGGTTTGCGATGATTTTTCTATTTCCAAAACACCAGGAGAATCAATGTCACACAAGAGTGTGAGAGCAAAATATATGAATGTCCGAACAAGTGTGTGAAACAAGTGTGTGAGCGAATATTC